AAGTTGTCTGGGGGTGAATTATGAGGTGACGAGTTGTCCGCAAACCGTTTATTGGTGGCTTATTTTTATTGAACAATAAAGATCTTTTGTTTAGAATAATCTTTGTTGTAATAAATTGCTTAGGTTTTATTATCTAAAATTTTTCTAGTTATAAAGATGTTGTGTTGTTCCATTATTGGGTGGACTGTCATTGCTACTTTTTGCTTGTGCAGACAATCATCAGTTTTGCGCTTGAATATATAACTGAATAAGAAAGAAAATTTGTAACTTCATGTTTGAATTAAGAAGAGAGGAGTAAATTTATACGACCTATGATGGCGGTAGCAAATTAAAGGGGGCCGGGAAACTAATGCCCCATGCCTCCTTACGCTAGAAACAGTTCAACCATACCTTTTGGTAATTGATTTTGAATTTTTGACCAACATATATTGTTGTGTAAGTACATTTCAGACATTAAAACACTGAACTATTAAACTGATTATTTTTAAAAACGATTTCTTTATTAAAAATTCTATTGATAACGTTATTATGAATCTATTTAAAATCCTTTAACTCAAGATTACTACGCGTTATAGCAAATATTTGATATTGTAGAATTACCGCTTCAAAAATTTAATTAAGACCTTAAAACATTATTGATTGGAAAACAATTTGCAGCTGGTGTGACAATGGAAGTGAGAAGTTTTTTGTTCTTAACAGTTGGAGATTTGGAATTCGTTCCTTTTGTTTCATTCGACCCTCCAGCATCTAATTCAAATCCAAATAATGTGATGGTTAGTATTTTATTTTGACGGTTAATTTTTAAATGCTTAGATTAAAATAGAAATATTTGTTGAAGTTTAAATATTTCTACAAAATGGATTTAGTATTAAAATTTTCATGAATTTGATCAGAATGCTGAAATAATAAATGAAAAAGTGCCTGTTCGCGTTCCATTCAATTATGGGAGTTTTTATCGAGCAAGGTTTTTTAATCTACTTTGCATTTAAAAATAAAATTATTGCATAAAGTGATAAAATCTGCAAAATTTTATGGACATTTATTAAATTTATACTTATCTAGAAGATTGCATTAAACGTTACACTGTTTTATATGGGATGACCGAACACACCGATATTTGAACACCGCCTTAAAATCAATGGAAAAAAGTGCCAGACGACAAAATTGGCAGATAACTGATCTATCTGGCCTTCTTTTAAAAAATTTTCTTGTTAGTTTTCTGTATTTAGAATAGAGATCAACTGCAAAACACCAAACAAACAATAAAACCATTGAAAGAATTTGTGAGTCTTAAACAGAGAAAACAATAAATAATGATGCAAATTATCTATAGGAAAGGTACAGAAAATAGCAGATGGCAGTAATAGAGCTCTGGACATATACAATATTTTTGCAGATTTACTAAAAAATAATAGATTTAACACTTGCCAGTTTACGAAAAGTAGTATTAAAAGAGTACCAAATTTTTAGAGAACCACAACCATAATTCCCATTTATAAAAATTGTAACAATTCAAAATGTATTTTGGTCTACCGAGTTTACCTGATAAATTAAACAGTATTATAAAATTGAATAGATTAATAAAGAAAGTAAGTTCAACGGAAATGAATGAACCAACAAAGGGGTTTCAGAAAAAGAGAAAAACTGCTTTTACTAAAAGTTTCTCTTCTAATAGTTAATTAAAATGAGTTTGGAAAATTGTGGTTAGCTAAACATATCTTTTGTAGATATTGCCCAAAACTATGGCTTCTCCAAATTAAAAGTAAAAACCATAGAATAATCAAAAGATTTAAAAATTGCTTGAAGTTGTTTTTCAGAAGCTGTGGCGAAAGACAGAATAACTCAAAATATTAAGAAGTATATATAATAAAAAATTGACTATCGCTAGGGCAACATTGAAAAACTGCAGAACAAGTGAGAGGCGCAGAATTATGGATTTTTCAATTCATGGCAGTATGGCTGCAAATTTTTTTTAGAAATTTATGTTTAAACCAGGCTTCAAATGAAAAGATCAGAATCGCCAGAGATCGGAAAAAAATCTATTAAAATAGCTTTGTGTTTTTGGCTATTGTAGACGAAGCCCTCGAGGTCACACAGTGCCTCCGATAATAATCGTTATTTAGTTAAATACTATATTTGTATTTGTTTCTAAACATTTGTTTTGAAAAATGCATTGAAAATAATATTATACGCGTCAATCGACGAAAATCAATCAGAATCACTATTTAGGAAAGCCGTTTCAGTTGAGTGAAATCTTCGATAGAGCCAGACTGACAAGTTGGCATAAAATTAATTTGAGTAACATGACGCAAAAGTGGCTTAGCAACCACACGCCAAACCAACTTTGAAAAATAAGTAATTCAATATTGGTCAATAGTTGCTATCGTCATTCCTACCGAAAGAGGGTTTTATCAAAATGTGTATGTGTGTGTGTGTGTAAAAATTACATAGACACGAAATTTCACTTCAGCAATATATTAAGCGTAAGTCCATCTCCGTGATAGTGGGCTTTTCCTGTGTTGTCACGGTGATGTCAATCGTTTATTTAATTTGTGTGTTTTTAGTGTGGCGTTCTTTTAACTGTTGTTGTTTTAAAAAACTAGAGTGAAATCTGTGAAATGAACTATCAGCATTAATCAGGTGCTTCAAAAAGAAAGGAAAAAGAAAAACAAGAGACGTTTGCAAAGAAAAACGAGAAAACATGCGCTCAAAATGGTTTGAAATTTTCAACGACTGCAAAGCTCTCGCAGAATGTATTAATGTTGATAAAGAACTCCCTGACAGAAGAAAGAAAGCTAAACTACTCGCTGACAAATGCACACAGAAGCAAATTTATTTTTCTTAAGAAAACTTTAAAATTATTGACTCTTACTGCTTGACAGTGTCATTGGAAACCTAGTACGAAGGACTACAAAGCTGCTAACTGGTTAAATGAGCTTTTTTAGTTTTTTTGAAAATATTCAACAATGACCGAGTTATAGATCTCAAAGAAAAGAAGAAAACATTGTCCGAAAAGTACAACAACGATGTTGACGGAGAAGAATTGTTTTTGGAAAAAGTTGATTTGAAAAAAATTCTTAGAGGGAATTTTTCAATAAATTTGAAATCAATAACACTTCTTAGCACATTAGCAAGCCAAAACCTAACAAATATCTTTCCAAATGGGGGATCCTCAG